TTTCTTGACATTGGATTACTGTTATTTTTCCTTTTTGTTGATTCATACATTTTTTCTTTTCTTTTCTTTTTTTTTTTTCTTTCTTTTTTTTTTTTTTTAAGAGAAAGGGTCTCTGTCTGTTGCTCACGCTGGAGTGCAGTGGCATGATCATAGCTAACTGCAGCCTCAAACTCCTGAGCTCAAGCAATCCTCCTGCCTTAACCTCCAGAGTAGCTGGGACTACAGGTGTGTTCCACCACACCCAGCTAATTTTTTTTTTTTTTTTTTTTTTGAGATGGAGTCTCACTCTGTTGCCAGGCTAGAGTGCAATGGCTTGATCTCGGCTCACTGCAACCTCTGCCTCCCAGGTTCAAGAGATTCTCCTGCCTCAGCCTCCCAAGTATCTGGGACTACAGGCACACGCCATCACGCCCAGCTAATTTTTGTATTTTTAGTAGATATGGGGTTTCATCATGTTGGCTAGGATGGTCTTGATCTCTTGACCTCGTGATCTGCCTGCCTCAGCCTCCCAAAGTGCTGGGATTACAGGCATGATCCACCGTGCCCAGCCCACACCCAGCTAATTTTTAATTTTTTTGTGGGGATCTCTTTTTGTTGTCCAGGCTGGTCTTGGTCTCCTGGCCTCCCCTATCAGCCTCCTAAGTCGCTGGGAGATTGCTGAGATCTTTACACACATTGGTCTCTTGTCATCCAGGTGCTGATTATTTCCTACTGATTTGTCTCCTCTCCCCTCCCTTGCCAGGATGCAATGTTTCATGTGGATACAATCAACATTAGCAATATTCTAATGGCTTTTGAATTTTGTGTCTTAGAAAAGCCTTTTCTACTCCAGTATTTCAAAGCATTCTCTTGCATTTCCTTTCAGTTCTTTTATTGTTTATTTTTTTTATCTCCAATGTGATCTCTGTGGAGTTGATTTTCATGTAAGGAGTGAGGTAGAGACCCACATATTTTCCCAGATGGCTAGCTAGCCTCAAATCATTTATTGAATGATGCTTCTTTCTCCTAATGAACTAAAATGTCAACTTAATTATATGTGAATTGCAGAAATCTTTCTGTACCTTGGCTTCCAGATTTGTAAACTGAGAGTAATAGATTAGGGTTGCTGTAAACGTGAATGAGATAATTACAAATATGCAGAACAGTGCTCTGCACATAGTAGGTGCTTGATAAATCTTTACTAAGATTTCCTCCAGATGTATATGATCTATTTCTGGGTCTTACAGTCTATTCATTTAGTTGGTGTATCGGTCAGGTTTGAAGCTGCAAACAAGGAAGCCTACTCTGCCAGTTGGAGCAGAAAAGGAATTTTTTAGATTGTTGGGTGGCTCACGGGGTCTCCAGGAGTCCAGAGAATCAGACAAGGTGGCTGTGCAGCCAAGAGGCTTGCACTAGCCTCCCTCAGGGATTGCCCTGGGGAGAACACCACTGCTGCTGCCACTGCTTGGCACACGGATGAAGCTGGCCCTGCTGGCTCTGGGGAGTGGCCATCAGGAACTATGCCATGGCATGCCCTACCAAAAGCCTGATGTCTCTGCTGCCTCCTTCATCAGACTCAGATCATATGCAGGTCCTGCTTCTCCTGTTGTCCTCTCTTGCATCTGAGGTTTGCATGGGGAAGCCTGGCTGGCAGAGCACAGGTCACACACCTGTGTGCTGGCTGCAAGGGTGACTGACAAAACGAGTCTGGCCTCTGCTCTGACCTCGGCTCTGCTCTGTTCCTACTCCAAACATAGGAAGTGTTCAAAAGACACTAGGTGGCTACAAATGTGACAAATGTCCATTATAAATTGTCTATTCACAGGCGTGGCTTTCTTGCTGGTAAGATGATGCTGTTTTACAATCCAGTACAGTTGGTTTCCTTTTTTTTTCCCAGAAATTTCTCAGCTCTTGTTATATATAGGATCAACAAGTTTAGTTTAAAAATCCTGTTGGTATTTTTGGATCACACTAATATAGATTAATTTAGAGAGAACTGGAATCTTTACCATATGACTCTTTCAATCCAAGAGCAGGGAATAGCTTTCCATTTATTGAAGTTTTTATTTTATGTCCTTCAGGGGAGTTTGAAAAAATGTTTCCCTATAGATTAAGCATGTTTTGTGTTCAATATATTTCTAGGTATTTTATCTTTTAAAAGTTTTACTGATGGAATCTTTTATTTCCTGATTGGTTATTGTTTTATATAGGAAAGCTAGTGATTTTTATATGAATTAATTCTTACTAAACTCTTTTAATGTTTAACAGTTTTTAAAAACTGGGGTTTCCTCCTGTGTTTTAGAAGTATACAATCAGATGATTAATAAATGATAATTTTGCATCCTCATTGCAATATTGAAACTTCTCATTTGTTTTCTCATTTTGCATTGGTTAGTAGGTGGAAAACAACATTTAATAATATTTGTTGCAATGGGTATTACTGCCGCAATAATGCTGCATAATAATCATCAAAGTTCAGAGGTCAAAGCAATCATTTATCCTCATTTAAGTGTCTGCAGGTCAACTGAAGGTTGACTGATGCATGTTGGCCCTGGCTGGGCTTGGTTCCAAGCTGCAGGTTTGGTCCAGGTCTACTCCATGCATCCCTCATCACCCCTGGATCATCTTGCAAATTCTAGCCTCTACTTTTCATGGTGAGGATGGAAATGTAAGAGTGCTAAGTGGGAACAGACGATGCTTCTCAAATCTTAGACTCAAAATTGGCACTCTCATTTATACCACTTTCTACCAAAGTCACATGGCCAAACTCATTATTAGGGGGGTTGGAGGAATACTCTGTCTTTAGGAAGAGAAATTGCAAAATCACATGGCAAATGACACAGACACAGCAGGGTGAAGACTTGCACAATGATGCAAGGGGCAGCACTGGGCACCCTTTACTTGTCCCTGACTGATAGGAATGATTCTAGTGATTTGTCATTAGAAATGATCCTGGGTTTTAGCTTGAGTCGTGATATCTCTATCCATGTGGTCCTATTTTGTTAATAGTTCTTAAATCATGAAACAAAGTTGGATTTTTGTCAACTTATCTTTTAGTATATATATAGAATTGTATGGTTTTCTTATTGATATTTTAATATTATGAGTTATATTGATTCCTTCATAAAAAACCATCCTTGCATTATTTAAATAAACCCCACATGGTGTTAGCATATTACCCTTTTAAAATGTGTTCTGTTTGCTAATATTTTATTCAAAATTTTTGCATTTATATTGTCTTAAAGATCATACTGTAGTCTTTTGTCTCACCATTTTGGCTTTTGTTTTTACTGTTTTGCTGGATTCTTAGATTTAAGTTCGCTTTTCCCTCTCTACAATATTCAGGAGCAGTTTAAATAGCATTGAGTTATCTGCTTCTTGAAATTCTGATGGATTTTTACCTGTAAAGCTGTCTACAACTGGTGCTTTAATGGATAGTGGCTTTTTGATGACACTCTCAATTTCTTCTCTGGTAATTGGACTATTTAGATTTCCTATCTTTTCTGAGGTTAGTTTTCATCATTTATGTTCTTTTTTGAAAATCACCCATTTTGTCCATGTGTTCAAATTTATTTTCAAAACATTGAGCTCAGTAATATATGACACTTTTTAAAATTTCCTCTATATGGGGTAATTTCCCCATTCCCATTTCTGGTTATGCATATTTATGCTTGTTTTCTTGATTAGTTTAGCTAGTGGTTTTTTCTGTTTTCCAAACCTATTCTCTGCTTCTTCCCTCCCATCTATCTTCCTTCTCTTCTGCAGGCTAATCCCACCACCGCTGCTCAGATCCTCCCACTTCACGCCTTCTTCAGAAACTTGCTCCATGCTTTATCCTCTCTGTGTCCTGTTCTTTTCAAGCCTTTCTTCATCTTTCCTAACAGCTCATAATCATTCTCCAGCTTCTTCTATCTCGAAGGCCTCCAAGTCCAAGTTGCCCCCTCTGGCAAATGACTGATAGCTTTATTTTCCAAGGCTTCCTGGGAGTGCTTTCCCGATGTCCATACCGTAGAGTATTTCCTGAGTGTTTTCCAGAGTAATTTCATAGCATGAATGACATGCACGAATGACAGCATCTACTTTTGTCTTCATGACTCCAATTAAACTGTTCTAGTTGAGATCATCTATGATATTCCTCACAGCCAAAGTAATAGGGACTCACATCTAGTCACTTTTCCTGACTTTCTGTGACATTTGCCAATATTGACTATTCTTTCCTTCTTGAAATTCACTCTGCTCTGTTTCCATAACACCTGCTCTCCTATGATGCCTCCTATTTCTCTGTTTCTTCCCACTTCCTTTAAAAAAACACATCTCTTCTTTTGCTTCCTCAATACATGTCTGATTCTATACCAGGTCCTCGGTGAACCTCACCTACACATGCATGTCTTGAGTGACAGCTCATATGTTGACGACTCCCCAAACTCTATCTGCAGCTCAGACCAGAGCTCCATTCTTGCTATCTTGATGTGTCCTTTTGGGCACCCTAGCTCTGGACTTCTTATTCCTGCCTTAAAATTGGAAATAACCTCCCTTCTCCCCATGGTCTTCTTTCTCTAAGAGAGCCCCTTCTATAATATCCTTTCCTGGGAATGTTCTGAACCACAGACCTGCCATTTCACTCCTCTACCTGAAACCTTCAATGACTTCCTTTTGCTTTTAAGAACAAAGTCGACCACTTGGCTTTCTCCTTGACCTCCAAGCTCTCCAAGCATCACCTCCTGGCCTGCCCACAAGCACCTTTGCTCTAGTCATCAAGTCACTTGAGGTTCTCCGATCATCTTATGATGCTCCATGTCTCTGGGGATTTTCTGTGTGGTTTCTACTTCTTGGAATTGCTTTTCCACATTTTTTTCCTCCTTTTAGAAAAATTAGCTTAAGATTTACCTGCTTTGAAAAGTTGCCCCTGACCCCTCCCTTGGTGTGATTTTGATGTGTATCTTGCAAGAGCCTCCTACTCCCAAACCCAGTTCTCCATTCTCTTCTATATTCTAAACCTATTTCCCTTTGTCTTCCAGAAGGAAGTCATCTCCAGAGATAAAGAGAGTGAGCCCAAGCCACAGAAAGAAAAGGAGAATGAAGACCGGGCACTGTGGCTCACGCCTGTAATCCCAGCACTTTGGGAGGCTGAGGCAGGCAGATCATAAGGTCAGCATATCGAGACCATTGTGGCCAACATGGTGAAACCCCGTCTCTACTAAAAATACAAAAATTAGCTGGGCGTGGTGGTACATGCCTGTAGTCTCTGCTACTTATGAGGCTGAGGCAGGAGAACCTCTTGAACCTGGCAGGCAGTGGTTGCAGTGAGCTGAGATTGTGCCACTGCACTCCAGCCTGGGCAACAGAGTGAGACTCTGTCTCAAAAAACAAACAAACACCAAAAGAAAAGGAGAATGAGCAAGGACCTTGGAGTTGTACAGACCAGAGATGGCATAGCAGTGTGACACTGGTCTCTCTGAGCCTGTTTCCTTATTTTTGAGGTGGGGGAAAATGAATAATCCTTGCATGTTGTTGCTAGGGTTAAATGAGATAATGTATGTGAAGGTGACTTGCACATGGAAGTTAATTTTTTTAAATGTATCTATTTCTTTTTCTTTTCCTTAGTGATTTTCCCTACTGGGCAGCAGATGATTTCTTCAAAGGTTGCCTGGATCAGAGTCCTTAAGGGAATTAAGAAGTTGGGGAGTAATGACCACATCAAGTGTCGGTGAGGATGTGGAGGAACTGGAACTCTTACACACAGCTGGTGGGGATGTACAATGAAACGACCACCTTGGAAAACAGTCTGACAGTTAAAAAAAAAATTTAACATAACATCTATCATATGAGCCAGCCAATCTACTTGTAGGTATTTACTCAAGAAGAAAGGAACACGGCTATACAAAGACTTGTACATAATGTTCATAGCAGCTTTATTTGTAATAGCCAAAGAGTGCAAATGTCCATTAGTAGGGAAATGGATAAACAAGTCATGGTATATCCATACCATAAAATACAACTTAGCAATAAAAAGAAATGAATGATTGACATACACAAAGACATGGGCAAATCTCCAAAAATTATGCTAAGCAAAAGAAAGCACACAAAAAAGCACATGCTGTGTGATTCTATTGATATGAAAATGTATAAAATGTGAACTGATCTACAGTGATATAAAGTACATCATTGGTTTCCTGGGGACAGGGTTAAGGTGCAGCAAGAGGGAGGAATGAAAACAGGGAATGAAGAACCTTTGGGGCGATGAATGTATTTGTTATCTTGATGGCAGTGATTATTTCATGGCTTAAACTTACATCAAAGTTTATCAAATTGTACATTTAAAATATGACATACAGTTTATTGGAGCCAATTAAACCTCAATAAAGTAGTTAAAGAAGAGTTCATGGATAAGACAAATGTAGCTGCTGCTTGTCCAATATTTCCTCCCTGTTTTTTTAGCTCAAGGGAACTCCAATTTTTTTTTGGGTGGCATTGCAAATGGGTTATAACTGATCTAAGCCACTTATGATAATCCCATTACCCACTCTGCCTGTCTCCTTTGCAGCTGGGACCGGCCATATAACCTAAGGTCACAGAGACCTAAGATGACCTAAGTTGACTGGTGACGATTCTGGGAAAGCTTTGGCTCTCGTAATATAAAGTGGGCTTAATGTGCCTGTTGCAAAACTTTCCTCCTCTCCTTCCTGTTTGGAGTTAGAACATGATATCTGGAGCTGCAACAGCTATCTTGTCACCTTGAGGGCAAGGCTGAGAGAGCTGTAAACATGCTGGCCTTGGTTTCACACAACCTTTGAGCAGCTACCTTCCTCTGGTCTTGACGTGCAAGAAAAATGCTCCCTATTTGTTTGTTTCTACTGCTGCAAATAGTTTTCTGTTACTTGTAGCTGAAGAATACATTCTCACTGTTATAACTGGGTTGGTGTTTCAGTTATTTACTGCTACATAACAAACTGTCCTAAATTTAGAGCATGAAACCACAACCATTTTTAAATTCTCATGGTCCTTTGGGCCAGGAAATTTGCTAGGGCACAGCAGGAATACCTTGTCTCTTCTCTCTGATGTCTGGGGCTTCAGCTGGAGATGGCTGTGGCAAATCAATTATAGCTAGGTGTCTGGGGCTGCTGTGAGATTTGCCAGGGCTGGGATGTCTGCAGTCGCTCTTTCACTTTACATGTTTGGTGCTCGGGCTAAGACAGCTGGAGCTCTGTCAGTCATCACTTTCTCCATGAGCCTTCTTTACATTGCTAGCTTGGGCTTCCTCACAGCATGGCTGTCTCAGGGTAGTTAGACTTCATATGTGGTGGTTGGCATTCCTCAGAGCAAGTGTACCAAAAGGGGAAGCTCTTTTAAAAAAGTTCAGCCGAGATCCAGCATAGCTTCACTGCCACTTAATTCTACTGTACAGAAAAGCCACAGGCCACTGAGATTCACTGGGTGTAGGAATCCCACTTCTCTTTTAGGGAATGGCATGCAGATATAAGGAGGGGAGGAGGCGATGGTAGCTGTCTTGGAGACAAGATGGGAAGCAGCTGCGAAGCACACAGGTGTGTGAGGTGTGCTTCTGGCTGTGACTCCTCCTGTGACCTGGTGCGCACACTGCCCACTTGCAGTTTCCAGGCCAATGTCCAGACTCCTGATCTCAATGTAACCTTCCATCTGACCCTTGGCTTTGGCCGTGTGGAACTCCCTGACTATTTCTTACTGCCCCCATGTGCCCTCTAACCTCCAGGCCTTTGGACATGCTGCTTCTGATGCCTGAAGTGCCTCCCAATCCCTTCCCTTTGTGATCTGCTCATTTTTCAGGCCTCAGCCCTGCTGTTCCCTCTTCTGGCAGATTCCCTGACAGGCCTGGTGTAGGTTGGGCCCCCCTGACTCTGAGTTCACACGTCAGCCTGGTCAACCTTTCCCAAACCCTCAGTGCGTGTCTTCTGGGTGGTCTGTCTGACCCCTAGAATGTGAGGACTTTGAGAGCTGAGACCTGTAACCTCCATCTTTGTACCCCTGTTCCCAGCACAGTGCCTGGCGAAGAGTAGGCAGGCAGGCAGGCACCGTTTGTGGAAGAAAGGCAGGAAGGCTGCAGATCTATACAGACTATGGAAGAAACATGGCAAGGGATTCTCCCAGGGGGTTCCCTGTTGGCATCCTCTCTGCTCCCAGCCCTCCTGGGAATAGCTGAACTCCGGGGCTGTCACTCTTACACCAGAGCCATGCTGAAATACTCAGTGGCTGTAGAACAGCATGTGTTCAGCCCTGGCGGGGCTCAGGAGCTGTCAGCAGCCCTCCTCACACGCCACCCCAGGGCCCAGGCTGCATTTGTCAGATCAGCTCATATGCCTGGCTGACAGGTGGGGAGCCCTGCCTGGCGCTGAGGCAAGTGTTCCTGATGGATCTCTGGGGCTCCTACGCTTCCCGGCTTCCCATGGAATCCAACACATTTTAAAAACCCCGGTTCGTCACCTGTTTGGTGCCCAGTTCTCTGCTGGGCAGTGAGGGGACAACAGAAAACCGGATAGGCATCAGAGCAAAAGCATGGAGGTAAGAATGAGAGGGGCTGGAGGACAGGGAGCAGGCTGCAGAATGGGGAGCTGAGGCTGCGGAAAGTGGTCAGGACATGGCCAGCCCCCAGGATCTTTTGCTCCAGCTGGTTTTCTGTTCGTATTCCCTGAACAGCCATCCTGGCTGTTCTCAGCAACTCTTCTGATGGGGGATGCCCAGGCCTTATGGAATGCTGCATGTGGTGAGCGCAGCTCCCTTTCAACCACAGGAGGAAGTCTGGTCTTTATCCTAAGAGCAATGGAGAGACACTGAAGTGTTCTTTGTAGGGAGCAAGATTACCAGATTTGGGTTTAGAAAAGTCCCCCAGGCTGCAGAGGGAGAATGGGTTGGAGGAGACATGAAGGAGGCGGGAAGACTGTGGGAAGCTGTTCCAGGCTCCTTGAGGACAGACCATGGTGGCCTAAAGCACGTGGAGGCTGCAGGGATGGGGAGACATGGAGGGATTCCAAGGATGTCTGAAATGCGGACTTCCCAGGGCCTGTTTCTGGGAGGTTGGGAGTGAAGAGGGAGAAGGAGGCATCAAGGGCGATGCAGGATAGGGTGGAGGCTGGAAGTGCTGAGTCACATGGAGTAAAGGAACGCCGTGGTGAAAATGGTGAGGTCAGTTTGGCCTCCTCCACTCATGCTTGCCTGCCTTGCTTTCTATGAAATCTGCAGTTAAATGAATGTGTACTGATTTTCCTGGACACTGGGGCAGGTAAAGGAAGACCGTTTCCCATATCTGTGCTGTGAGTGGTCCATCATCTACCCTGTAGCTCCATGAAGGTCAGTGCCATTTGTGAGCACAGAACCTACATTTTCTTTGTACGGTGATTTCGGCATGCACACATGAGTCACTTCAGGATGTGGACTTAGGTAACATGCTTGCTCTGTGTTAGGAAGCTTTCCTGGGGTATCACTCTCTGTAATATGTACATGTGTAGGTGTACAGATGGATGCATATGTGTATATGTGCATGTATATGTATATCTGTGTGCATGTGTCTATATATATGTGTGTGTATATATGTATATAGAGAGAGTCAGAGAGAGTGTGCATGCACACTGGGCAAGGGAAGGAGGCTTCACAGAGGTCTTGAAGCATGAGTAGGAGTTTGTCAAGGAGATGAGGGATAAGGAACATTCTAGGCAGATGGAATAGGAAAATTAAAGGCATGGAATGGAGACTAGGGAGCTTAGAGAGGGCAGAAGGGGAATGGCTGGAGGGGAGTGGGAAGAGAGGCTGTGGTCAGGTTGGGAAAAGCCTGGAATGCCACTCTCCAGGGGCTGAGCTCCACCTTGTAGTATACAGGACGACTTATGGGTTTTATTTCCTAAGTCATCTTCATTTCATTGACAGTGTGTTAATTTCAGAGCATGTGTCAAGAAGGATTCTGGGGTGGTAACATCCCCTGTGACTGCAGGATGGAGTCTGGGCACTAGAGATTTGCCACATCTGCAGAAGGACGGGGAGAGTCACTGGAGGAAGGGATGGGGTTGGGGTGAAGGAGCAGGGGCTCGGGATGTGTGCTGTAGAGGATCCACTGGAAGCTCTGGGAGCATGAGTTGTAGGGAGGCAAGGCTGAGGCCACGCTGCCAATGAGCCAGCATTCAGTTTAAAAATATCTGAGGAACGAATGAACCGCTGAGTGTCTGCACGGCAAAAAGTAGACCTTATTGTAGCTGCTTCTGTAATGAGGACGTGCAGGAGGAATAAAGAATTTCCATGGTAAACACTGTCAGCCTTCCTCTCCCCTTTAGCAAAAATACCAGAGTGAAAAAAAAAATACAGAAAACATGCATGCGTGCACACACACACGCACACACAAAGCAATGACCCCACCGAGGGGCACTTTCCTTCTCCCCTTCTCTGCTCCCTGTGAAGTCAGAGCATAATTACTGAAAAGCATTTTTGACTGAATTTTAGATGAGCATTTTGACAAAATATAATATTGGAAACAATCTTTATCAAACATTCATGTGTAGTGTGAGAGATAAAGCCCAGAATCCATAATTCATACGGCGTGTGTATTACCAAGTGTGCATGAGAGGCTGAATTTCAATGAGGCAGCCTGAACAATATTTTCTGCCAGACACAGGCTTTCATCATTTACATTATTCACTAGGTTTTCCAGAACAGTAAATCTTAAATATATATTTGTGTTGGGAAGAGCTCGTGTGCATGTCTGTATACACACAGAAGGACGCACACCCGTTTGGGCACAAAATTGGCGGATACATGTTCCAGCTGGAGGGGCACGCGGTGACAGCAGGGAGCCTTGGCGTGGCGGACTCCCCGGGCTCCTTCTGGAGGATGGCCCATGTCACCATGGACTCCACAGCTCGCTGCAAAGGCATTAAATCCGCTCACCTTGTGGTCTCCATCTTCAGACCCGCCCAGCACCTCAAGTGGAGTCCTAAAATAAAATGGGACTGAGTGCGGGCATTGCTCCGGATGCTCAAGGGCAGAGCTCCTTCAAGTTCACCCTCTGCACCGTTCAGGCAGTCATTGTACCCTGAGTCTCCAAAGGCTAACGTTGGAAGGGACGCTTATAAAGATTGCTGAATTTTGTCTCATTGTGATATGAGTTGGACAGCGGATGGAAGAGCCTCTGCTTGTGTACAGCACAGACAGGAGCACAGGGCCTCCAGCATTTTCCCCACTCCATCTCCGGAGGGTCACACTACTCAGAGATCTTCCTTGGAGGTGAGATTGGGCTTCTTCTCATGATCACTCACTGTTGCTGTGCCGGTCCATGAGGTCCTGCAGCACAAGTCTGCTTCCTGGGGCACGGGCCCATCCTTCAGAGCTCTGAGTGTGACGTCGCATCCCTGGGATCATCTTTTTCCAGGCCT